TGACCCCAGTCTCCATCCATCCTCTGCCTCTGTCATCAGGGGCCTCCGGCTTCCACTCCCTCACTGGGATGGGCCTTGCTGCAGCTACCCCCTGCCCCCCATCCAGCATCCCTTTTTAATCTCAGTCTAATTGTATGCCTGTCCTGCTGGGAGGCCTAATTGGGCATGAGTCCACAGATCCTATGCCTTTGTGAGTGCTCCTTCCCCTCCAAGGGGAATTGACTTGCGCTGTGGGCACAGAAGGAAGGATACGTGTTCCATTGTGCTCAGTTCCCTGAGAACTTACATGACATTGTTCCTGGGCCAGCAGAGCAGTTAGGCAAGATGACGAGCAAGGCTTTCTCACTCTCTTTTATTTTTTACGTGTGTGTGTGTGTGTGTGTGTGTGTGTGTGTGTGTGTTTTAAGGTGGAACATTGCAATGGAAAGGGCACTATAGTTGGAGTGTTGAGCTAAGGTCTGATTTCAGCCCTGCCAGTCATTGTTGTGTGATCTTGGGCAAATAACTTAATGTCTTTGAAATTCAGTTTCCCCATTTGTGGGTTGAGTGAGTTAAATTTGATGACTTCTATGAAAGGCGTCAGTGATGCTTTTAGAACAGGGGTCATACTCCCTCTGGGCCAAATCCGGCCTGCCATCTGCTTGGTAAATAAAGTTTTATTGGAACACAGCCATGCTCACTTATGTATGTATTGTTTATGGTAGCAAAACCAAAATATTTACTATAATGGCCCTTTACAGAAAACAAGATTGCCTGCTCCTCTTTTCAAACATAAGTGTGATTGGCTCATTGTTCAAAACTTTCTATTGACTTTCTATATTACTTAGAATTTAAAAATAAAAAAATCTTTATCAAATCTAACTTATCTTTTTGAGATCTTTTAATTCCATATTTTGAGGGGGTTTTTTCCTATAACTGTTTCTTTCTTCTTATCTTGACTTATCTACTCATCTAGACCTGCCTGCTCAGTGCTCCCTAAACCTAGCGAACACATTTCTACCTCAGGATCTTTGCACCTGCTTTTTTTCTTCCTAGATCACTCTTCTGCTGAGTAACTCCATGGTCTCTTCATTTCCACCAAGTCTCTCCTGAAATGTCATCAAATCAGGAAGGCTTTTCCAACCATCTATATAAAACCTCACCTTCACCCACCCCTGGACATCCTAATCTCCTTCCTCTGATTTTTGTCTTCATATCATGTATGTCCCTCTGACACATTATACATTTGTCCCTTTGTTAGCTGTCCACCCTCACCTGCATGCATGATCCTTGATAGCAGGACTTTAATTTGTGTACTGCTCTATCCTCTGATCTGAGAAAATAGTAGGTACTCAGATTTTGAAAACCTAAATCCATCGTTTCAACTCTAGTGTTGTTTAATTTTACTTCTGAATGGCTCTGGTCCCATAAAGCCCTTCACCTGTGTGCATTTTGGTGAAGAGTACACAGTAGTAGAATCCTGTGACTACAACTCTTTGCTCCAACATCCCTATGATGTCACATGAACTTATTCTCTGAAAGGTGTTAGTCTGGATTGTTGGCCAGTAAGAACAGTTTACAGACAGAAGTCTAATAACAAAGTTTGGCATACAAGGCGCTTTGTCATGTGGTCCCTGACATCTTGTCTGTCTCTACCTCTTATCATTTATACATCCATGCATACACAAACACACACACACACACACACACACACACACACACACACACACACGAATGCTGCACACACCCACGAATGCTGCACACACATGCATCCCTCTCTCTCCAACTGTCTTACCTTCTCTCATTCTCCTCCATTTTTGCACATAGATCTCATTCTTCCTAAACCATCCTTTCACTATCCTTGCCCAAACCCTACATGCCCTTTAAGATTCAACTTGTACAGAGAATTCTTGGACAGGTCTGCTTCCACCCCAGCCCCTCCTCCCGACTGGGTCAGGGACCCTCCTGTCCGATCGCTGTGTGACTAAAATGACCATTGCCAGTAGCACACCGCTGTCACGTGGCTCTCCTAGTCATCCCCCTTTTCCAGGAAGATGGGTTCCTTAGGCTCAGAGCTCCATTGGTGATGTTGAGCATGGAGAGCCTGGCACAGAGCCAGCATTCATAACAAGGCGCCCAGCGACTGGGCCCCTCCCAAGAGCCTGGCCCTGCTCAGCAGGCCACCGCTCTCCCCTGCCCCCCTTAGGCCTGGCATCACCTGCCAGGGAGGAGTGGGAACCCAGCCTCAGCTTCCTTCCTAGTTTTCAAGGAAGCAACACAGAGGGCAGGCCCTGGCGTGGAGCTGTGCATATTGGGAAGACGATGGAGGCTGTTAAAAAAAGCCAAACGGGATTGAGTCGCGGGCTTGTGCTTTAGTGGTAGGTGGCAGATTCCTTTGGGCCAGTCCTGCTTCTACTGTGGTTTTCATATCTACCTTACAGTGTCTACATTGAAAGGGTGATTTATGAATCTGGATACCGGTTTCCTACTTTCAGCTCTTCCACTAACTGGTAGAGTCTGTGACTTTTGTCATGTTGCATAACCTCTCTGTGTGTTAGTTTTGAGGAATGTAGACATAGTCACATAAAAAAAAGTAACCCAGGATCATAAGTTATAATAAAAGTGATATAGTATTATAATGATAATATATCTAGTATATGTCTATGTAATAGTTTCTATACATATATATATACATCTATATATACATCTATCTATCTATCTATCTATCTATCTATCTATCTATATATATATGTAATTCCATAGCTAATGTATATAATTTAATAAATTTCAGGGATAAATTTCAGGGATAATCTGATGAGGAAAGAATATTTTCTTCAGAAATATCTGATGATTCTCATTAAAAATTAGAATTATAGAGAGAGAGATATATATAGAGAGAAGTGGCCATATTGTGTAACCTAATTGTGAGAGTAACATTCACTCCCCTTCCTGTTCTGTTCTTTGGAAGCAAGTTGCTAGTCCACTTGTGCCCACGCTCATTGAGAAGAGATTACATGGAGTGTGAACACCAGGGGCCTAGGGTCATTGGGATTCATGTCCAAGCCACCTACCACACCTCTCCACTAGCTCTCACATCCCCTACCTTTCCCCATATCTGGTCACCCCTCTTGCCCCATCTTGTCAACATCTTCACCCCTTCTTCCTGCATCTCCTGTCTTGTTCAGCCCTTCCCATATGCGTTATGTATCCCCCTCTCACTCACTGTGCTCCTGCCCTTTCCTCCACGTGCTTAGCTGTGTGTGTTTCCTTGTGTTAACAGCATTTCCGTTTGTCTCAGTCCCGTGGGAACTTCAAAACAATAGTTTAGGTGTGACCTCCTCTCTGGAGCACCCCCAGGAGACCTGAGACGCCTGTGTTCCTTCTTCTGAATTCTGTAGTCCTTGATTTGCAATAAATTGGAAATTTCTCTTCCCTGACAGACTGTGAACTTCTTCAGGCCATGGGACTGTGACATGCCCATCCACCTTTTGTAGACATGTTCCTTTGTGCCCTGCAAGGGTTCATTGAGTGCAGCGGATTGACTTAATAAGTACCCATGTCTACGATACTGAGCTCACTTCATTTAGAATTTGAACTATGCTATGAATTGTGGACAGAGATTCCTTAAGCAGACATAGACGGTAGCTCTGAGGCTTGGAAACCTATTCCGATGTGAAAGCTTTCTTCAGACCCAGTCTCCTCTGCGTCAGGGATCAGACGCCACCCCTGAATTACCTGGGCAGGCCTGTCAGGATTCCCACACTCTTCTGCCTCTTCTTGCTCCGTGCCTCGTCCTTCATTTGTCTCTCCCATCCTGTGGCAGGAGAGAGAGACCTTTTCATTAAACTCCGGTTCCCATCGTTTATCTATGCTGACCTGACACTCCTCTTGGCTGGTCTGTTTTTCTCAAGGGACCTAGAGCTTGTAACTCAGGCAGGTTGGAGAGCTGATTATTCCTGGGTAACTTCGTCTTTGGTAAGAATGGAGGTCATTACTAAAGCAAAGGGCACCTGAACCAAGGCCCCTTAAGTTCCTACTGGGATTCAGTGTGCATGCTCCTTGTCCATCATCCGGGAACCTTTAATGATTTCGGTGTCTGGAATTTGTGAGGGAATAATGCTATGAAGCAATGTTTCACACTGAATTAGTGCCTGGCAGTTTCCAGAGGCATTTTCACACCCTAAGCTTCATGGAACCTGTGCTTCACAGGAGAGAGATACTCTTAGTTGGATTTTATAGATGAGAAAGGTAGGTCCAGAGAAGTGGCATGCTCTGTTCAAGATCGCATCACAGTTTACAAGAGGAGGAGTGAGAGCCTGCAGAGTTGGACTCCCACGTTCAGCGTTCTCTGGTCTTGATCCATCTTATTATTAGTGAAGGGAAAGACCGAACCCCACCCCCCAGCCCCCAGGCTTCAGAACCCAGCTTAATTTCTCCCAGATTATAGTTGCTCAATGAATTCATGTTAAATTTTTTAATTAAATTGAGCTCTGTGCTTATTTGATTTTGTAAGTGTCTTAGAACAGGTCTCAGTTTGCTTGGTGCCGTAGATCTTGTCCATTGTTACATAGCCTGCCTCCCCCTGTGCCGCCCTTCTTCCCTTTCGTCCATTCATTTGTTGGTTTATTCATCCAGTTAGCATTCTCATGAGTCCTACCATGTAACATGCACCATGTACCTAGGACTTTCCCATTTCTGTGGTATCATTCACAGTCTAGTGAGAGAGATGGATAAGCATGGAGACAACAGTGATACGTTTATATCCCTGCTGCTCTGTAAGCTACGTGAGAATACGCCTGTGTCTCTCTGCTTCACCAAAGTCTCCCAGGAATGAGAAGTGTGTGCAATAAATATTTGTTGGCTGAAGAGGATTGAGAGCTCCGGCTCTAAGTATCACTTGACAAATATGAAGAACAATTGTAGTCACTCTCTCCCATAAGAGGGGTGTCTGGATGGTGGGTAGACTTTGGCTTGCGGTAGAGGTGGTAAGTTGCAGAGTCTCACTCATCTCTCCTGCCCAGGGAGTTTGCCCGTTGGAAGGTGAGGAACACAGCCATCGAGAGGAGAGACCTGGTCCGTCACCCACTGCCCCTCATGCCGGAGTTTCAGAGGAGCATCCGCCTGCTGGGCAGGAGGCCCACCACTCAGCAGTTCATCGACACCATCATCAAAAAGTACGGCACCCACCTCCTCATCTCTGCCACCTTGGGAGGTAGGTCAGCAGCCACGGGGCCAGAGCCTCATCATGACTTTGGGTCTGGGATGGAGGGGAGGGCGGGATGCCCTGGGATCAAAGCTGAACTGACATCTCTGCCATGGCCCATCTCTCCAAAGCGGATATCGCCACAGAAGCCAGGTGGCCTGGGTTCTCGTGGTCCTCTCAGAGCAGTTGATTCTGTTGTCTGGGGCCATCTACCTTGACAGTTGACTAACTTCTGTGGAAGCGTGGCTTCGCCTTGGAATTAGCTCAGTTTGTTGTTGGGAATGCTGAATTTGGTCATTGTATTCGTTCCTTTTGCGAGGTAGTCTGATCTGGGGAAATAATTAAAATGCAGGTGTTGTTTGGAGAATTGCCTTTGTTAATTTAAGTCTGCTTGAGGGACTGATAGTTTGAGGTTCGAATTTTACCAAGGGGGTATCATATCTTCTTGGAGTAGGTTACTAGGAAGGCTGATTAGCTCCACCCTGCTCAGCCTTGCCCATCCCTCCCAAGTCCAATCAGTCTTTAGGGGGTAAGGAGAAGAGGGGAGGATAAAAGGCAGCAAAGAAATGCAAAAAAGGGGGGACGGTAGAGACGACTGCAGTTAGATGCTCATGGGTCTTGGCTGCATGCATCATTTTATGTTATAAACTGACATCCCTCGGTCATCAGTTTTCTTCTGCCACAGTGACTGGGTCCACTGAAGTTTGAGAAAACCCTTTGGTGGTAAGTCACCATGCCACCTCCTCAGCGGTGCTGAGTGGCCTTTGGATAGGGCTTATGGCAGCTACACAAGATACTAGATGTCTTCTCCTTCAGAGGAGGGGTGAGCACCATGGGCCGCCGTGGTTCGTACACACGCAGGGAGGCAGTGGCTGTCAGGTGGACAGGAGCTGACCAGGTAGAGGGAAAGAAGGAAGCTTTCTAGGCTGAATAGGCAGTTGCATTTTGAGGAAGATCAGATTAGGAAGTTGATGATGTGAGGAACGTGGATTGGTTTGGCAAATTCATTCATTCTTACAGTAATAGCTACTAATATTGAGTACATACTCATACCACACATTGTATATTGTCTTTCATCCTTCAAAACTGCACGTTAAGTCAGATTATCTGCATTTTACAGATAAAGAGGCTAAGACTTAAAAGAGTCTGGCTAGTATGTGACAAAGCTAAGTTTCTTTTCTGTTTTTTTTTTTTCAAATTCAATATATTTAAACAAAAACAGAAAAGTTAACCCTTAGCTTTTAATTTAGGGCTTTCAGTCCACAAAGCCTGCACTAGTTTTTGACCCAACACCAGTCATGCATTGGTAATTCATCCACCAACCCACCCACTCCCCAAAACAGCCAAGCAGCATGGATTTGTTGCTTGTTGCTAGTCAGGGATCAGGTGAAGTCAGACTATGAATGTTAAATCATGGAGTATAAATTCTATTCTCTTGTAAAGTGAAAATCACTTCTACATTGAGTGTTGCATTAACCTGTAGCCCTTTTTTTAAAAACTTCTCCTACTTCCCATTTTACCTGAAAAATAAAATTGTTGCCACCAATTCAGGTCTTCCATTAGAGGCTGTGTTCTGTCTGAGTCTCTGGAAACCCCAAATGACAGACCTTTCTTTTGCGGTGAAATATATTTTTAATTTTCCAAGGCGAGGTGGTGAATTATTCACAGAGCCTGCTCCTCTCCTGTTTCCACAGCACAACATTTTAAAATATGCAAAGCTTTGGAGTGAGTTTTGGTGTTGGACAGCGGGCCCTAGATGTTCCCTCCACGTGGAGGAGTGGGCAGGGGGAAGGGAAAGATTGACTGTTGATTGAACACAAGGCACCAGGAATCCTGTGAGGTCCTTCTCACACCATCATTTTATTCATTCATTCATGGCAGAATATCTCTTAAGGGCCTCCTCATGCAGAGGGAGTAGAGGGAGGTGGTGGGCTCTGGGGTTTGATAGCCTGGGTTCCCATCCTGCCGCCTGCTCCTCACCAGGTCTGTGTCCCCTTGGCAAGTTACTCTTCCTGAATGCCGTGTCTTCCCCTTGTATGAATAGAGATAACTGTAATACTTCCTTCATTTAGATTGTGAGGATTAAATAAAATGATCCATCCGAAGTGCTCAGTGCAGTGTTTTGCACCTAACAAAGTGTTGCTATTGTTGTTGGGATAGTGATTGTTGATATTATACTTATCATTTAGTGGGTTAAGGAACCGCTCACTAGATGAATGGGAGACACTGAACAAATCATTTTTCTGTCCGGATGTGAGTTTTCCTGTCTAACTATAGGAGTTGTAGAAAATTTTATTCACTGTAATTTTTCCTAAGGAGAACTCTGTATCCGTTTAGGAGAAATGCTTTGATAAGCTGTTTGAGGTGTCAGGTGAGTTCCTAAGGGCAAACTCAGACAACAACTGCAGTCCGTAAACTGTCACACGTGGGACAAGGAAATGCATTTGTATGGCTCTGAGGGAGAGGAAGTGGAAGAAAGGGAGTGAGAAAGAAGATGCGAAGGCGGAAAAAAAAAAAAAAGACGGGGAGGGCGGTGGGAGGGCTGACAACTAAGACAAATCCATGGGATCCTCAATTTTTTGCTGAGATCTATTCAACTCCTAAAATGCTTGGCATGAGTGATTTTCTTATGGAGGGTGGTGAAGGGAAGCTTTGGGGGTGGAGGGTGACTCACAGGAATACCGGTTTCCCTTCGTTCCTCAAAAGATCACATTTTGGCCCAAAGGAAGCCCCCTGGAGCCTGGGTGTGTCTGTGTGATGTGCATGATAAGCTTGCAGCATGCATAGACAGGTGTGTGCACATGCCTACCTGCGCTTGGATATAAGTCAGCCCGTGTGTGGACCTCCCTGCACACTCAGTGCACACAGGCTCACTCATTGGACTTGTGCTTGTGGATGCAATGTTCACATATGGGTATATGTGAGCTTGCACATGCACATGTGTGTACATTGCATGAATGTTTTTTTATGTGCCAGGGTTCATGTTTTTGTACTTGTGTGTATGTTTGTGTGTCTACTCATTTCCCACCCTGCATTGTGGGATATCTCCCCTTGGCTAAGAGGAAGGCTGAGAATAAAGTCACAGGGGTTCTGCAGGGAAGGATGAGGGGTACCCAGAGGCTACTAGTAGAGTTCAGACCCCCACCCTCCATCTGGAAGTTGTAGCCCCTATTGACTGAGAAGGCCAGGTGCTCAGCTCCCACCTCAGCCTCTCCCCCACACCACCACACCCCCCAGAGTGGCTGAGTCCACTTTTTTCCCCTCGACAAGTCTGGCTGCAGAGAGAGAGGCAGGGCTCCCCGCGGACAGATGCCTAGGAAAGGCCTCTGTGAGGTGAAGAGGCAATTTGCAGGAATGCCCTAATGGGAAAGCAACTCTAAACAGAACATTCTCTTAATAAACAAGAAATTAAGTCTTAATAATGTAGCGAGAAGCCCATTAACCCCTCCTGATCTAAAGTTTGCTGCTGCCAGTCCTCAGTCCAGAGGGACCCGGCTGATTTCACCTCCTCTCTCACAGGCCCTTAGAGCCTGAGCTGACCCTTGGAAGACTTATTTCCTCTGCCGCTTGCCTCTACCTTCTAACGTATTCGTTTAATTTAATCATTTACCTTTCCACCCATCTATCTCTTCATCTACTCAGTCAATCATCTATCCACCCATCCATCCATCTACCCATCCATTTATCCTTCAGATGATAATGGAGCATCGGCTCTTCTTCTGACCAGGAGAAGCATTGAGTCTTTGTTCCCCCAGGCCGCCACCCACCACCCACCACCCTGAACTCTAAGTCTGATTGCGTCTAAAGTCATTTTTAAGCCAAACCTCTTCAGGCCGCTATGCTGTTCAAAGGATGCAAGATCATGTCCTCTTTGATAACCAGTGAGGGCTTCATGGGAAACTGCAGACAGGAGTGTCTTATTCTGAACTTAACTCAAGTGGAGGCATGGGAAACCCAGAGAGGAATTTTGGTGTTGGTGAACCTTCTTACTGGGATATAACCTCTTCTCCATTGCACCCTGAGAAATACAGTGCCTGGTATATGTAGGTAGTTAAGGAAAAAAAAGATTAATTATTTACTACTATCTACTATATGCTGAGTACTGGGCTTTGTACAAGGGATAAAGAAGTGGCTAATATAGACAGTGTCTGACTTCACAGAGCTCACAGTTTAGATTTTTTCTGTAACAAGCACATTTTTTTCTATCTCTTTCTCTCAACTATATCTATCTATCTATTTGTCTATCTACCATCTATCTATCTCTATGGCTTTCCACTATTCCATCCATCCATCCATCTGTCCATCTAGGAAGGGGTAGCAGAAAGAGAAGGAGAGAAAGGGAAGGAGGGAAGAGGTGAGGGGAGAGATGAGAAAAGGAAAAGGAAAAGGAGGAACTGGATGATGAGGAGGAAACAGAAGGAGGAGAAAGGAATGGGAAGGGGCCATCTATGGCAAATTCATCAATTTACAGAAGAGACTGAACCTCAGAGAGAGGAGGTGAGTCGTGAGATGCTGCTGGTGAGAAATACAAAGTGGATTAGTAGGAGTTGGACTTGATGACTAAGAACTTTTCTGTGATCTTTGTCTCAGTGGGGCTTAGTGCTCAAAGCACCTGCGGTCTATTTCTCTTTCATTGTGCTCTGATTTTCATTGGCAGAAGGAAATTTGGGCGAAATCAGTGGGAGGCTTGAGGGTCTTTTCAGCCTCCACGGTCTGGAGCTGTCCCTCCCACCCTGAGGCTAGAAGGGCTGCCTGAGCTTCTTTCCTTTCTGTGCAGGGGAGGAGGCCTTGACCATGTACATGGACAAAAGTCGCCTCGACAGGAAGTCAGGGAATGCCACTCAAAGTGTTGAAGCTCTGCACCAGCTTGCATCGTCCTACTTTGTGGACCGTGACGGCACCATGAGGAGGCTCCATGAGATCCAGATATCAACTGGAGCAATCAAGGTACAGCCTGAGGGTGGGCTGGGTGGCAGGTTCCGAAGACAACAGCACTGCAGCCCAGTGTTCTGAGAGTTGATGGGCAGATACAATCCCTGGCTTCACCCCCATGGACCTTAACAGTACCCCCTGACTGATGTGGTCAAGTGCATGGGCATTGTCATTGGGATGACCATCAGTACTGATTCACTAGGGCAGCCCCGGCTATGGCCATAGCATAATTAGCAACAATCTTGTCATTCACTCTCAAAGTTCTCCTGTATGGATGATTTCCAGGCTCTGTCCTAAGAGAGGAAACTTAGGCAACAATGGGTAGATGATTTTCTGAAGGTCACAGAGCTACTGAATTACAGTAATTTCTTTAACATTTGCTCAGGGGTTCATGGATAGAGAGTACCTTAACAGGGACTAGAACTCTAGTCTCTAGACCAGGGGTCAGTGACTATTTTCTGTAAAGGGCCATATAATAAATATTGAAAGCTTTGTGGGTCATATAGTCTCTGTTGCTACAACTCAATTCTGCTGCTATTACACAAAAATTATCCATAGACAATATGTGAACAAATGGGTGTGGCTGCTTGCCAATAAAACTTTATTTATAAAGACAGGCAGTCTGTCAGGCTTAGCTACATGATGCGTTAGCCAATAGAACTTTCCAAGATGATGGAAATGCCCTGTGTCTGGTCTGGCCAAGACAATAGCCACCAGTCATCAGGGGTCAGGGAGCCCTTGAAATGTGGCTTCGGAGAAACTAAATGTATACATTTATTTCATTTTAATTAATTTTAATAGCCACACTAAATAGAGCAGCTGTAGACTTTTAATTCAGTGCCTTACTGCACGGGAACTTAAAAAAAAACAGATTCCATTTTCAGTGCAATAAATTCAGGGGTTTTCTTTATAAAGAGAATAAGGGAGGAGGACCTTTTTGATATAATTAATCAATTCTGAGAGTTTCAGTGCAGATTTTTTGCCTCTCAATTTTTTAAAACCAGATTATACCTGCCTTGTGCTTCTCAGTCTTCAGTCTATTTTTTCCCCTGAATAAAATGCAGACCTAGTCTGATATTAAGACTTCCTACGATGTCCCTAGGAAAATGTGTGTGTGTGTGTGTGTGTGTGTGTGTGTGTGTGTGTGTGTGTGTGATGGGGGCGGGGGGGGGGGGGACAGTGTACAGGAGACCCGGGCAGAAGAGTCAGAAATTGTGGCAGGCAAGAGAAAAATGTGGCGGGAGAGAGTTACTGAAGAGGGGGAGGTAGGAAGGAGAGAAATAAATCAGTTCAACAAACAAAGAGCCAGTTATCCGCGAATCTCCTGTACTAGGGGATTATGTGGTTGGGGAACTTGGCACAGAGAAGCGGATCTTGATGAAGCCGTCAGAGTCAGAGTGAAGCAAAGGCCTGGTTTTTATTATCATCAAATGGTTCTCTCCCCACTGGAAGGGGCCGGATTGAGAGATCGAAGCGCTGTCACCGGCTAATCCTCCTCTGTGCATCCAGGAAGTGCAGCCGGAGCGCTTTCTCAGAGAAATTTCAGCCCACTCACCGAGCCCTTCCCACAGGAGCCCTGTCTTCCCCACTCACCTGGGGCCTTGACTTTCCCTGACATTTCTTGACACTCCCTGGAGACCCGGCCGGCTGTAAGACACATGGCTGACCAACCTGGTGGGGAAGTTTTCCCCAGGGTTTCCTTTCCCTGGGCATCTCTAGCAAAATGAATTGGTAGTTTTGATTCTCAAACAACTAGGTTCTAATAACTACATTATCATTCTGCTCAAAAAAAAAAAAGAATGCATGATTTGTCAAAACCCCAAAGCGAATGGTCCTGCATTTATTTATTGATTCCTAAGAGCTAGACACTTCAAAAATATGATCCCTTCACCTACTGAGGTGAGTGAGAGTATTAGTGACATTTTGTAGATGGGGACGCCGAGGCCTAGGAAAGAAAGTTCCAGATCCAAGGCCCCACAGCTGGCAGTGTTAAATGATGGGAGGTGAAGGCTAAAGGGCTGACAGAGCCTCTTTTTTCCCACTAAACTGTTCCTATTCCACAGTTATCTTTCTGAATAGCTGCCCCCTCTCCACCACCCCCCCCCCCCGGTCCACCACCTCAGTTATTCTAGGACAGTGTTTTGGAAATGCACCAGCAAAGCATCAGATGTTTTGTGTTGCTGTGGTGTCGATGGCGCTCCTTGCTGAGTTTATTTTTAAATGGGGACAATTTGATTGTTCTCACCTGATAATAATGCATATGCGTGTATCACAATTTCTAGAGACTTTGGCAGTAAGATGCCCATTTTTGAACATATGCCCTATTATCAGGCACTTAAATCCATCACATCTAATCTCGCCACCTTCCAGGTTAGAGAAGTGAAGTCATAAGTGGACCAACCAGGATCTAACACTGGTGCTCCTGATTCTAAAGGCCGTGCTTTTGAAATGTACCGCTTTCACTTACTAGTTCCTATATTACTTAAAGCAACTCTGTGGAGTACCATGGACAGAGCCTGTGCCTTCTGCCTCCTGCCTGACTGGCCTGCCTTCTTGTCCTCCACTTGGTGACAGCAGGCATGGCCCTTGGCACAGGCAAGGGGCTCAGGAGGCAGCCGTGGGCTTGGGGCTAAGGACTTTCTCTGCCGGCTCTGCTCTGCTGGGGTCTGACTTTGCATAAAGGGTGTATGTCTCACATCTGTCCCCCTTGATGTCCACTCCAGGTCACAGAGACACGCACTGGGCCCCTGGGCTGTAACAGCTACGACAATCTGGACTCTGTGAGTTCTGTCCTTCTGCAAAGCACCGAGAGCAAACTTCACCTTCAAGGTAGGTGCCGGTGGCAGTGGTGGGACCAGAGGGTGGAGAGGCAGCCTGGTGGGGAGGCAGCCTGGGGAAGGCAGGCTGTGCTGGGAGAGTGAAGAAGATGAAAGACAGAAAAACAATAAAAACTGAGAAATTCATGATGTAAAGTCCTTTAAAAATTTAACATGGACAGGACATGAAACTCATGGTTATTCATTAGTTTTTAGATACCAAGTATGGAAATGTGAGCTTTATCTGATTATTTTGATGAAAACGTCTAAATGGTGTTATTGATAGATGCTCTAGATCTAATATATATTAAACTTTCCTATCATATCGGCTGGATTTCATACATTATGGTGTTTGATTTTCAATGTATTTTGGCAGGTGTTATTTGAATTCTAAGAGCTATAGGAGAGTTTGAGGAGTTTTTGGTTCTATGTAATTTTTTTCCTTGTTTGTTCATCATTGGCGGTCTTCAGTATATTCCTACACACGTGTTTGTGCATGTGTATGTGCTTGTAGCAGAGCTGACAAATGCGAACACTCAACACTGCATGGGGTATAGAGACAGCTCTTTGGCATTGTAGTGAGAATGGAAAAATCCTAAGGATTAGTTTGTTGCTATATTTAAATATTTGTATTCATTTCATATATATTATATATCAGGTCCTGTTAGATGCTCCATATATACTCATGACTTTATAATAATATAACCTTTAAAATAGTAATTTTACCCTTATTAATTCATCATAAAGTGTAGAGGAGATTGTAGGGGAAACTGACAAGGCTTTAAGTACAGATGGTTCTGTTTTAAAAGCATAATTTATAATAACAGAGAAACAACATAAAAATCTCAATTGTTCACATGAGGAGACTGAGTTACTGTAGCATTCATACAACATTTGGCAGGTGCTAAAACATTGTTTATAAGGAATTTCCAAGTGTATGTGACAATGATTGGATATAATGTTAATTTAAAAATGGATGGTTTCCAATTGGATGTATGGCATGACAATGTAAAAGAATAAGAAAAAAACACACAATATTGTAATATTGTAAGGAAATACTCTGAAATGTTAAAAGAGGTTACCTCTGGATGATTATGTTATATATTATCTATTCTGGGCTTCCAGCTCCTTTTCTAACTTTTCTAATGTGATCATGTTTTAACTTTATAGTCAGGAAAAGAAGTGACATGCTTTAACTTTGAGCAGACTCAAAATGTGACCTTCTAGTAAGGTGATTCTGAATGTCAGTGGGAGGAAAGTTGGGTTGAGATTGGCAGTTGAGCTAAGCAGGGCTTGATATGACTTTTATATTCTGGTTCCTTGGCAACTCTTTGATGCATGCTCTTGTTAGAGAAGATGGTTGGAAAATGGTTCAGGGAGGGCTTGAAAGTGTCACTGAGGTGCAATGAATGAAAATTCTCAGAGAAATTCAGGCCAAGAAAGTGGTTTAGTGTTAGAACAAAACATATTCTCAAATCATGAAGAATAACCCTACTTCCTTTAATAAAGAGTAGACAGCTGGGTTTGGTAATGCCTAATAAGAAGGTCAGAACTCACTTAGGTGTGCCAGCGATGTCAGTTCCTGTGATAGCTACAGCGACCTTGAATTGCCAGCAGGGTTTGAACCCAGGAAATTTAGGTTCAGTCTGCATTATTCACCCTGCTGTGCACATTAGAGGTGGAGAGACCTATGAGTTAGCATTGGGATAAATTTAGGAGGTATTCACAGGATGTTACTAGGAAGTTATTAGATCATATGGACATTTAAAGGCTGATTTACCATAAATCTAATGAAGCTTAAAGTCCAGGGTTCCCTCACCTTCTAAATCCTCATCTTTTCTCATTCTAAATATTCACTTTCATATCTAATTTTGAATTACTTTTCTCTATAAGTCTCAGTCCCCCAAAACCCAGGTCTGCCATTGGTTACATTATTAGAAGTATGTTATCCACACAAAAAGGAGGTGATAGCTTTGTCCTATTCTCGATTGATCAGAACACACCTGAAGCATTGGATTCAAGTCTGCACGTCACACTTCAAGGGGGATACTAAGGAACCACAGTGTGCCTGAAGGAGGGTGTCTTAGATAAATAGCTGAAGAAGGTTGACTGTGAACAAAACGTCTTGTCTGCAGATACCTAAAGGATTGTCTTGCAGAAAAGATAGTCAAATTCATTAACATGGATAAAATGGGCTAAGCCTAGTCTATTGACCGGAAACTCCAAGGACCCCAGCTTTTAACTGAGATAAAATAGATCTCAGTTTAAACTCAGTTTAAACTAGATCTTCTAATGCACATTCATGCCGAACCTAGAGTGGCCTGCTCAAGTGTGTGATGGCTCCGAGTTATAAGTAAATGACATTTGGTAGGAACGTTATAGAGATTATTTGATCATCGTTCCATTGGGTTGATGACTGAAGTGAGTGGTCTTTAAGGCCTTCTCAATACTGACTCTAGGGTTCTATGAAGACTTTTCTTGAAACTGGCTATGTGCCAAATTTAATGTTAGACCATGGGCATCTGAGAACAAATCAGGTCATTTCAATTCACTGTATACAGGGTGGAGGGAAAGTAAGTTTAAAGTTGTGAGCATGTGAAACAGTTTATTCTTGCACTATTTATTAATTTTCGTATTATTTTTCATACCAATAACTATACAACTACTTTTGCCCTACCCTGCATATATATATATATATATATATATATATATATTTTTTAAAGAACCATATTGGCATTGAGCTAGGCACAAGGATACAGTAATGAAACACAGTTTCTACCCCAAGGAAATATATGCTCCATCAGAAAAAATGGACTTAAACAGTAATAGGCATCATGCATTCTAGTGGGGGAAGATATGAGTGTTTTATAGTAGCAGTTTGTATGGGGACTTAACTTACTAGGGAGTCAGGGAAGTTTTCTTGCTAAAAGAGATGCATAGGATGAGACCTGGGGGAGGAGAGGAGGACAGGGTCGTGGGTATGGAGCAGAGGGAGGAGTCTTTATGAAGGGCATTCGAGGAACTGAAAAAGTCCTAGAGATGAAAGCTGAGACACCAGTGATGAGAAAGACAAAGGAATCCTTCAAACCCTGGAAGGCCTCAGCAGCACATGAGTGAGTTGAACAGTATTGAGAGCACCGGGCACCATGGAAGGGTTTTTACAGGGGAAACAGCATGAGAGATTCGTGTTTTGGAAATCCACTCTGGCTCTTGAGTAATCTGTTAATTAGAGAAGGGCGGGTTACAGGTTGGTGACTGGTTAGAGGCCAGTGCAGTACTTGGAATGAGAGGTCACACATTTAGATATGAAGGGAGCAGTCGGGGTGGAGGAAAAGAGACCAATTTTAGAGTTACTTAGAAGGCATCATGACCAGGATTCAGCAAAAAGACTGTGAGGAATTTAGATAATTGAGGGAATGGAGTGTGGGGATAAGAGAGAAAGGATGGACAGGAAAATACATATGATTCAAGGTGATGTATAATAGAGATAATAAAAGTAATGCATACTATTATGGAGACCCAGAAAGGGGAGTAATTCATTCTGTCTGTCTAAATAGAGGAATCATAGGGAAAAAGTGGTATCTGAGGGAGAATAATCTTCTGGCGCTGGAAGGTGAAAGGAAAAAGCTTCTTAAATATCAGACAGAAGACTACCATCCCAGGACTCTTCAGTAGTCTGATACTTACTCGGCTGAGTATTAAAAGCACTAGGTGGAAGAGAAAGGTTGATAGATCGGACTACATTGAAATTAAGAATTTCTGTTCATCCGAAGCTGCTATTCATAGAATGAAAATGCAAGCTACTGAGTGGAAGGAAATGTCTGTGATATATGTGTCTGACAGAGAACTCCTGTGCAAAACATATAAATAACTCCTAAAACCAATAAGAAAAAGACAGACAATCCAGCAAGACAAGAAAATGAGTAAAAGATATGAACAGGCACTTCACAAACAAGAATATCAAAGTGGCAAGTAAACATTCGAGAAGGTAATTAACTTTCCTAGTCCTCAGAAAATGTGCATTAACACCACAATTAAATGTCATAACCCAGCAGTCAGTCGGGCTCAAATGAAGAAATATGACAATACCAAGGAGCGACAGTGCGGAGCCTGGGAACTTACATGCATTGCCGGGGGGCGGGGGCGGGGTGATAGTGATAGTGAGTACAACAACTTTGGAGAACTCTTCTGTGGTATTTACTAAAAACTCAGCATGTCCTCACCATCTGACCCAGCAGTTACAACTCCTAGGAATATGCCCTGTGTATTCAGCTCTTCCTATGAGAGGTACTGTGCTCATTTAGTTTTAGTACATTTATATTTATTTTAATTTAGACTTATTTCTATTATATAATTGTATTTATTACTTTTTGTGTGTGTTAATTCTCCCCCGAGAATATTTTCCAATGATTTTTAGAGAGAGTGGGACATAGCTGGGGGAGAGACACACAGAGAGAAACATCCACATAAGGGAGACACATCTATTGGTTGCCTCCTGTACATGCCCCACCTGAGCCTGGGAATCGAACCTGTACCCCAGGTACCTGTCCTTGACCAGGAATTGAACCCTCGGCCCTTTGGTGCACGGGCCAAAGCTCTAACCACTGAGTGACAATGGCCAGGGCTGTATGAATTACGTTTTTAATCCTCACAGCTTTGCTACAAGGAAGGCACGAATGACATCCCCATTTTGTCAGTGAGGAAACGGAGCTGAGAGAGGTGACTGAGCCAGAATTGTAAGCCTGGCAGCCTGACTCCAAAGCTTCTCCTTTTCAGAAGGGTGTTGCTCTCAGTTTCTCTCCTAATCCCTCCAAGTGGGGCTGGAAGGGGAGATCCTGCAGAGGTTTATTTTAGTGGATAGAGATGACAATGAATGACGATTTCCTTGTGGTGTTTCATAACATGCCCACAAAACAGGGCAAAGGTGAGGGAGATAGGGAGGAAAAAGAAAGAAGGGGATTAGAGAAGAAAACTAGAAATGAGGAAAAAAGGATCATAGAAATGGTCAGAAGC